ATCATTGTCTGTGATGTAAGTAGCTACAATATTTTTTGTTGTTGTTATTCTTGTTAAGTTTGTTGAGGTATAATACAGTAAATACTGCAAATTTCACCATTATAATGTACAGTTATTTAATTTTAACAAATACATAGTCATGTAATCACCACCACAACAAGATATAGAGCAGTTCCATCATATCCAAGAATTCTCATGTCCCTTTATGCCTCCCTACATCTCAGCCCCTGGTAACCACTGCTCCATTTTCAATCCCTATAGTTTTACATTTTCCAGAATGCTTTGTAAGTGAATCATACAAAATGTGTACTTTTTGGGATTGAGTTCTTTGCTTAGCATATTGCATTTGAAATTTTTTCCCCTTTTGTTGAATGGATCCCTAATTTATTTCTTTTTATTGCCGAGCAATATTCCATTGTATGGATGAACTATATAGACTCTTTTGTTCTCCAGTTCAAGGACAACTGAGATGTTTCTAGTTTTTAGCAATTATAAATAGAATTTCCATAAACATCCACATACAGGTTTTTATGTGAACATAAGTTTCCCTTGAGTGAGCATCTAGAAGAGAAATTACTGGGCCATGTAGTAAGTGTATATTTAATAAGATACTGACAGTTTTCCATAGTGGCCCATTTTGTATTCCTATCAGTGATGTCTGAGAGTTCTAGTTTTTTTTTTAACATCCTCACCAGCATTTGGTGTTGTCAGGCTTGTTTTTGGTTTTGTTGTTTTAGCCATTTTCATAGATGTGTGGTCTGATGTTCCCTGTGTATTAATGATGTTGAACATTTTTTCATATGCTTATTTGGTGAAATATCTATTCAAACTTTTTGACCATCCTTTAATTTCATTATGTCTTTTTCTTATCCAATTGTAAGAATTCTTTATTCTGGATAAAAGACTTTATAAAATACATGTTTTGGAAATATTTCCTCCCAATTTGTGGCTTGTCTTTTTATTTTCTTAACAGTGTCTTTCAAACAGAGTTTTTAATTTGGATAAAATCCAATTTATCAGTTTTTTAATGGCTTGTTCTTTGGTTTCATATCTAAGAAATCTTTGCCTAACCCAAGGTTACAGAGATTTTTCACCTTTGTTTGCTTCTAAAACTTTTATGTAGTTCTAGAGGTTTTACATTTAAATTTATGATTGATTTTGAGATAATTTTTGTTATGGTGAAAGTATAAGTTAAGAGTTTGGGTTTGTTTGGTTTTTTGGGTGGAGGGGTTGTATATGGATTCCAATTTTTCCAGCATCATTTATGTAAAAGACTATTCATTTGTGTGCCTTTGCACCTTTGTCAAAAATCAATTGATCAGATATAGGTCTATTTCTGTACTCTCAATTCTGTATTATTGATCTGTGTATCTATTTATTTTGCCATTTCACTTAAATTATGAATTTATGGGCATGAAATTGTTTATCGTTTATAGTATTCTTTTATTTTCCCTTTAATGTCTGCAGGCTCTGTGGTGAATTCCCACTTTCATTCCTGATATTAGATATGCCTGTATACTTGTTTTTAATGTTCAACTAATCAGAGATTTATCAATTTTACTGATGTTGTCCAAGAACCAACTTTTAGCATCATTGATTTTTCTCTAGTGTTTTTCTCATTTTAATTTCATTGATCTATGCTCTTATCTTTATTATGTACTTCCTTTGGGGTCAAATTTGCTCTGCTTTTGTTAGTGTCCTAAGGTAGAAGCATAAATCATTGATTTGAAACTTCTTCTATTCTTATACAAGTATTCAATGTTATTTATTTCCTTCTAAGCCCTCCTCATGTGTAGAGTAGGAACAGTATTTTTATTTTCATTCATTTAATTATGTTTTTTAATTTCCCTTGAGATTTCTCACAGACCTATGGATTATCTATGCGTTGATTTCCAAATATGCACTGATTTCCCATTATCTTATCGATTTCTAGTTTAATTACATTATTTCAGAGAACATACTTTGTATGACTTTACTTCTTTGAAACTGTTCATGTTTGTTTTATGACCCAACATATGATCTATTTTGGTGAATGTCCTATGGGTGTTTTAAAAGACTGTATATGGCTGTTGCTAGGTGAGATATTCAGTAAATATCAGTTATATTCTGCTGTTTTATGGTGGTATTCAGTTATTCTTGGTCCTTGCTGATTTTCATTTTAGTGGCTCAAGCAATTATTGAAAGAGTGGTGTTGAAGTTACCAACTATAATTGTGAATTTTTCAAGTATTTCTTACAATTCTATCAGTTTCTGCTGCATGTGTTTTGCAGCTTTGTGTTTTGGTACATACACATTTAGGATTGTTATGTATTCTTGGTGAATTGATCCTTTTATCATTATATGACATTTTTCTTTGTCCTTGGTAATTGTCTTTGCTTCAAAGTCTACTTTATCAGATATTAATATAATCACTCTAGCTTTCTTTTGATTGGTGTTTATATGGTATGTCTGTGCTCATTCTTTTACTCTTGACTTACTTATATTTCAAGTGAGTGTCTTATAAATAGCATATAGTTGGGTCCTCTTTTTAAAATCCATCTCTGTCTTTTTACTGGTGTGTTTATACCATTTACCTTAAATTATTAATGTTAGGATTTAAGATTTTTAATTTATTATTTGTATACTGTTTATTCTCTCTGTTTTTCATTTCTCTTTGTTCCCTTTCCTGTCTTCCTCTGCATTTCTTGAATGTCTTAGTATCCCATTTTAATTTATATGTAGTGGAGCTTTTCGTAACCACTTTTATTGAGATTCACCATAGACACATGCTATAATTCACCAATTTATAATGTACAATTCACAGAGTTGTACAAACATTACAATTGATTTTAGAACAATTTCATTACCCCCAAAAGAAACCCTATACCCTTTCTATGACTCCTTAAATACTGCTCTGCCCCACCACCTCCCCCCACTCCCAGCCCCAGGCAAGCACTGGTTGTAGAATTCCAGGTTGACAGCTCTCCTCCAACCCTTGAAAAATGTTCTGCTGTTGCCTCTGGCTCTATAGTTTTTCAATAGAAATATACTGTAATTTCAATTGTTGTTCCCCTATAGATAATATGTTGTTTCTCTCTGGCTGCTTTCATGATTTTTTTCCTTTATCTTTAGTTTTCAAAAATTTGATTATGACTGACTCAGCATGGATTTCTTTGAGTTTATTCTATTTGAGCTTTACTCAGCTTCCTAAATCTGTAGATTTGTCTCTTTCACCAAATTTAGGCCCATTTCCAGCCATTGTTCTTTCAAATATGTTTGCAGCCCTTCATTCTTTTTTCTCTCTTTCTGTGATGACATGAATGGTTGATACTTCCTATTGTCCTACAGAGCCCTAAGACTGTTGATTCTTTTTGTTTATATATTTTCTGTAAGTTAGTTGTTCAGATTGAATAATTTCTGTTGGTCTACATAAAGTTCAGTGATTCTTTCCTCTGTCATCTCCATTCTGCTATGAGCCTATTCAGTGAATTTTTTATTTTGGTTCCTTTTTTGGTTATTTACTTATTAAATGTTTATTACTCTAAAATTTTCATTTGATTCATCTTTATGTTTTCTCTTTCTTTGCCAAGACTTTTTAATTTTCCATTTGTTTCAAGAGTGTTCGTAGTTGCTTGTTGGGTCATTTTTATCATAGTTGCTTTAAAAATCTTTGTCAGATAATTCTAATATCTGTACATCAAAGTGTTGGTGCCTGTTGAATGTCTTTTCTTGGTTAAGTAAATATTTTCCTGGCTCTTGGTTTGTCTAGTAATTTTGGATTATATCGTGGACCTTTTGTGTATTATATTATGAGACTCTGCATCCTATTTAAATCTACTATTTTAATAGACCGACAATCTATTTAGATTTTTAATGAACATTTTGTTCCAATTTTTTGGACTTTAATTCAAATGTCTAATTATTTTTCCGAGCTCTTGCAAGCCTCTTCTGTTCTTATCCCACTTCTGTGCTAACCAGGCCAATTTAGAACCTGGGCAATATTCTACACAGAATTTAAATCTTAGATATTTTGCTATTTTGGTTCTGGTCAGTTTAACACATGAACTGCTCAGACTTCATGCATCTATTTAAGAATTGCTTTCTCCAACTTCTTTCTCTCCATAATACTTCCCCATTATCTAGTTGGAAAGGTATAAGATACCACCTCATTGCTATTCTTTGCTTAATTCAGGGCACAGTGGTTCATAGGGCTCCTTGCCAGTCTCTAAAGTACCCAGCTGGGTAAAAGGAATTGCAGTTTCTTTTGTTGTATGTGCTTTGAGTAGAGCAGGTATAATCAAGAGAGTTCACTCCTACAGGGCTGCCCTCTTCCCAATCTTTTGACTGGAGAGAGTGACATAATTTTGTGTCTGTGCCCATTGGTGTTTGTGGTGGGCTTCTTTTAACACCCATGCTGGCTATACAGAAGAGGCAAAAAAATGAAAACAAAAAACCTTCAGGGAACTCACCATCAGGTTGTTTCTGGAGTTTCATAGTTTCGTAGCCAATCTGCCTTTTCTCCACCTTTCATATATTTTGCCTGGAATGTTTAGTTGTAATTAGCAGGATTAGGGTAGTAGGCACTTGCTCCATATTGTCTAAAATGGAAAACTAACTATGATTCATTTTTGTATCTCTCAAAACCATACCAAAACATACATTGCCTAGGATATGGTCTGCACTAAGTATTTGTTGGCAAAAGAAAGGAGTGAGGGAGGAAAATAAGTAGCTTCATAACTCAAAATGGTAATTTAGCATAACATAGTAGTTAAGATATGGTCAACAATCATTTTGAATGGTAGCTTCACCATCCCATATCAGTGTAATGTAAACAAGTTACTTCTCTGAGTCTCAGTTTCCTATAATAAAGGGATGGTAACACTAACTCACAGGGTAAGTGAAAATGAGATAAAGTGTTTAATGCATTTAGCACAGTGCTTGACAACAAACAGTAAATGTAGTTCCTAGTCATATTAGTAATAGCAACAGTTATCAAATATCACTATTTCTTATACTCATAGGAAACTCTGCCCTTAAAGACAAAGAAGATCAATTTGGGAGAACACCACTTATGTATTGTGTGTTGGCTGACAGACTGGATTGTGCAGATGCTCTCTTGAAGGCAGGAGCAGATGTCAATAAAACTGACCATAGCCGGAGAACAGCCCTCCATCTTGCAGCTCAAAAGGTGAGATGTAAAATTACTTTGAAGCATAAACTTTTTTTGCATGGTATTTGTTAGTTGGTTAATGGAACTGTTCAATGGACAGATAATAAAGAAATCAGAAGTATATGACTTAATTTCATGTGTTTCCCCTAAAAACAGTCTTTAAACTGCAGATAGTAAAGCATAGATAACCCTCAGTGGCTACTTTCGTGTATCCAAGTTCTTCAAACAATAGAATTTATTTTATGATCTAAGTCTTGGAAAAGGAATCAAAATTATATGTACAATATCGTTAAACTATAATACAAATCAATTTATGCATGAGAAAAAGCAAAGACCAAAAAAATAAAACCCATTAAGATGTTAACAGTGGTTGGGTTTAAATATTGGGAATATATATGAATTCTTGTACCTTTTCACTGTTAAAAAATTTTCCTTAATGAGTATTACTTTTAAAATAAAAATCTGTAGTCTCTCTTAAAATAAGTGGCATTAGGGAGCATAAAAGAAATTTATTATCTGAATGTATTTTCAACTTTTTAAAAATCTATACTGCCAATTTAAATGACTTCAAATTTTTAAAGGCATTGTCAAGAGCCCAGATTTTTAAAATTAAATATGTCAAAAAAATAAAATGGGAAGCTTCAAAATTTATTTAAAGACTTATTTACCTGAAAATTATTTTCCAACCATAAAATTTCAGTCTATAAAATATATAGCTGGTGTATGATATTTTTATTTTTGTTATCTTAGATTTATGTTTTTTGGTGTTTTTTTTTTTCTGAGAAAAAAGCAATGAAAATTAGTTAATCCAGCAGAAACTATTAGAGTTATATCCCATTTAAAAATGTGAACCAGATATAGCATATCAATTGAGGGTTAGAAAAATACCTTTTCATTATTTGAATACATGACATTAAGCTATACTACTCAATATGCTAGTTATATGCTCCTATCAGTTAGGTCTCTCAGGTTATTTCCAAAGTAACTGCTCTTGAATTTGCTTTACATTATAGTAATTTTTTAAAAATCTCTCTCATTGTCAATCTTTCATTTAACTACAGCTTGGGTATCTATAACCTTTCACCTAGGCTTGTCAGCTGTTAAAATTATTCACTAGGGAAGAGTAACTCTATTTAACTTGTTATCATGAAAAAGTAAACATTTCAGATTAGGAATAGCCCCAATATTAAGAATTTGATAGATTTTTTTTTGATTCATTTAGGTTTAAAACAACTTCAAAAATGTAGGTTGGAGGAACCTAATTAATATCAGCAGATCATGCGGGAAAAAGTGAGGATTTAAGTTGATGAGCCAACAGTGTGATAGTTTTGTAGACGTATAATATGAAAAAGGTTGGAAAAAGGGGAGTGCCCAACCAGACAGGCTAGCTCTAAGTCTCTTCGCAAAATGCAGTGCATTGTTTTCTTTTACTTTTTGTTTCTCCTTTATTTTTGTTAATTGTGATTTTTTTTTTAGTGTCAAGGAAAAAATAGAACTATGATTTACATGTCATAATTTAAATAGCTGATCTCATAAATAGCAAGTTTCAAGTTTCATGATAGTTATGCATTTCCCCGTCTCTCTGTTGCAGTTTGTTTTTCTGTGTTTGCCAAAAGCAGTAATATATCTTTAGGCTATACTAGCATTAGTAGAATTTTCAAAACAAGTAAGGTAATAATTCTTTAGTACTCTGTCTGTCCAGATCAAACCTGGGTGTTGCGTTTGATTTAGTGCTTCATACAGAAGCACTATTATTAAGAAATCAAGGAAGTATACTTCAGGCAGGAGCAAGATGGTGAAGGATATAGAAATAATTTTGAAAGAATAGTTGGAGATGACATGTCCCAGGTCTGTAGCACACCCTGACTGACTCTGAGCAGACACAAGCACAAATTCTTTTTAGAGAAAACATTTTCACCTTAAACTTCTACGATTCCCTATATTGAAATAAATCAAACATGATCTCACAGTGAAACACATGAGGAAGCAATCTACCATGAGTGAGAGCAGAAACAATAAGCAGATTTATTCCATCAAAAATATCAGATATTGGCATCATTAAAAACAATGTAAAATAACCGTTGATGGAATGTTTAAAGATATAAAAGAAGTCAGAAAAATGAGCAACCCATAAAAGACTTTTATAACTAGGCATAAGTTCTGGCCATGATCACTTATTTTAGAATAGCCCATCTGCCAAAAACATCTCCAAAAACTGAACAAAATATATACAGTACACTGTTTGATGGCATTGAGAACAATCAGTATAGGCAGGATCTAAGAAACTACAATCATTCAGAGAAGGGAAGCATGTGAAATTGGCCCCACATTCATCCTGCCTTTTTCCTTAAAGGCATTTTCCAAATTGGAATCCAAAAGAATACAACCCTAGCAGGAAGTAGGCTTAGAAACCTGATAGAGTTTGGAGTTAGCAGTGGCTGGAACTTAAAGGGCAAAATCCTGGAGAGAAGGAGACTACAGAGAAGGAACCCAAAAATCTGGGTACAGATTCCTTGCAAATCATTAGCAGATTCCTAAGCTGTGCTTTTATAGAGCAAGGCTCTCAGAAACCCAGCAGTGTACAACAGTAAAGAGCTAAATAGAGATAGTTTAAAAATTATCCTATATTTTTTTCCTATTGAAGTCTTTTAATATATAACAACTACATTTTTGTGTAGGAATCCATTCTCATTTTAAAATACGTGCATAACTAGTTTTCCCAAGACAACCTAGCTCGTTCATTTTTAGCCATTTATTATCTTATGTGGGCCAATGCCAGGTTTTTGTACTGAGTACTTCCTATGCTTTTTTTGTAAGTTATATTTTTTTAAATGAAGGGTCTTGACTACTAGGGAGACACTTAGGAAATATGAAAATAAAAGTTACACAATCAAAGTACTTCAGAGGGACTAATATGGCAACTAAAGCTACTTTGAAAGAGAAAGAGAGTAGAGGTACGTAGAAAGCTATTATGGTTCAGGTTTGTAGACAGGAGGAGTTGGATCCAAGAGAGATATTGTGGAGATAGAGCTGTTCATTCAGTAAGTAGTTGTGAAATGTCTATGTAGTCATGACTATAGACCTAGAGAAAATATAAAAACAGAATCATATTTGTATATTATAAATAAATACCATCAGTACTGATCCCTATTAAACTTCATTTCCCTTTGTTTAGTGAACCTCTCTGATATCTCAGATATCGAGTATTGCCTATCCATTTAATTCTGTTATCTGTGATTTCAAAAGTGTGCTATTTATGTAATCATCAATACTCATGTATGTGCAGGTATATGCATTCATTCAACATATATTAAAACTGTTACTGTGTAATGGGTACTGTGCTAGGCCTTGGATTGCAAAGGTGAAAGACATGATTCTGTTCTTAAACTGCTTACAAAGAACATGGATAAAGATATTAAGTAAACATTAAAGCTGGCCAAAAACCTAACAATACCTAAGTGTTTCATAAAGTACTACCATAACATGTAAATAGTTATTATTATTGACCTGAAGATCATTCTCCTGTGTTATTTATTATGCTTTTGTGTGTGTGTGTGTGTGTGTGTGTGTGTGTGTGTGTGTGTGTGTGAGTGAACTATATTGAGTTATCTTTCTTGAGGTTGGTTGGTAGGAAAAACTTGTGTTCCCATAGCATTTTGTTCATGTCTCTACTAGAGACCATTATTTCATATTGTAATCATTGCTTACTTGTCTTCTTTCCCACAAGATTGGAGCTACAGGAGAGAACCTTGCATTATTTATTTTTGAACCCCCCAAAATATAACACAGTATCTGACATGTCTTGGTTGAGTGACATATTATACGGTAACATATTATGTTACATATGTAGAAAGTCATTATTAATACAAATCTTAGACATTTTGTTTATTAGAAACATTTATCCACTTTCAAAATACATATATGGGAAACTCTTATTGAACTGTGGTGAGTGGCTTAGTTTTGTTTCTTTTTGACACATATTCACTTCTCTAGAAACAAATTGCTGTTAATCCAAGCAGCTAAGGAAATGGTACCCACAGGAATAAAATTAATCTCAATATACTGAACATCTGTATCTAATTTGTTTTTCATTTAGTATCCTCAGTTTAATCCAAGAAAGCAATCAGTCATACCTTTTCTGTGTTTCTCACCAAAGGTATCTAATTGTTAAAAATGTTTTGCTCCAGGGAAGCTACTATTTCTCTGACTTCCACAGATATATTTATTTGTTAATAAGGATAAAAGCTTTAGCAATCTTACTAAATGTTCATACTTATGCATTTTTAATCATCTAGGAGGTTATTAATTTGGCTTTAAAGATTAAGACTACCCACTTTGAAAAATTATGTCACGTTAAATGCAAAAATTAAAGAAGCTTCAGGCTATGGTTGTGTTTTTTCTTTTTTAAACAAACAATTTCCTATTTATCAATGAAAACTGAATATTAACTTCAGTTTTCAAAATATGTTGTGTCCGTGTTAATGATTTACCAAAAATGAAGGAGAAGAGTAGAATACCTCTGAAACTTTTCAGGAAAACTTAATAGCATGTAACAGTATTAGGTTTCCTTATTTTACACACACATTTACACATATACACACTAAACAACCCACACTCCAGTCCCTTTCAACTCTATATCTCATATTCCCCCTCAGTATACATACACCTCTGCCATAACTCCTTTCCCGCTACTGTTAATCACAGATTTCACTTGTCCATGTTTCACCCCCATTCATGGCTGTTTGAGGACAGAGGCCATGTCTTATCTGATTTTATAGTTTCAGTCTTAACACAGCCCACACCGTTTAATAAAGATTCAGTTAATGTTTGAGTAATGAATACGTGAATAAAAGAATGAATTAATCAGTCAGTCAATGGGAACATCAGATAAATTTGTCATGAATGGGATGGTCTTCAAAACTGTCGAAGTTTAAATTAATAGTTATGTTTATTCCTCTTCATTATCTACTCCACTTTCTTAAAATTTTATAAGCAGGATTTAACAAGACTCTGTGAGC